CTCTGGTTGAATCAAAGTTAAAATTTTAAAGCATTGTACAACTTATTTATATTTCTAATTCTAATATTTATAGTAAATATAAAGTAATGACAGTGAATGTTTTTTTTCCCGTTAAATGGCTGAGCAAATTAAAAAAACAAAACAAGCTGTACGAACTTGTTAATGAAAAATTATTAATATGTTTATATGTAACGACTTAAATCACTGTTTCCATAATAACACAGTATCAAACGTGATTTTCAATGTAATGAGACAGCTGGTCTTTGTTTATTTTATTTTTATTTCTCGTTTAGTCGGGAGGCCTTTCTCGTATCCAATTACCGCATTCCCTCAATCCCGACTCTGCCTGTTCGTTTCCATAAATATTTCCAATATTGTATAAATATATGTTAAACTATTCACGTTTTTGGCGTGTGACTGTCTCAAAACCTATAACATGTTTGACAGCAGTTAGTACATTATGCAGAAGCCAGAAGCTAACAAAGTGAAACACTAGCAAATTAAAACAATGTTTCGGACAGCAACCCTTCATCAGATTTGCAGTGGGAAGGAAACGTCTTTTAGAAGAAATATGATGTTTATATAGAATATTTATTTTCCGCTTTGGAATATGATATTTGGTAAGGGCGGGAACTAAATGTGGAACACCTATACAAAGAAATTTGGAAAGTTTACCTGAATATATGTTGTTCTCTACTTATTAAAATGTTGAATTCGACTACTATACGAATACACCATAATCAAGTTCGGCTAAAAATGTTACATTATTTCTATCGGTGTTTTGCCTCTTCATAGTTAGGTGAGAAAACTAAACATATGATAAAATAAGGTGTAATCATATTATTTCTTTTTTTATGTGTGAAATCTATATTTCTATTTCTTATTTTTAGGATGCTTAACTTTTTGATACTGTAATTCGCTGTGTTTATCTACTGATATACGTGTCCCTCTATTGACAAAAGAAGCACATTTCTTACTGTGTTTCTAAGCTTTAGACTTTAATATTTACTAATTGTGAAACAAGTTGTTGATAAGAGTTAAGTGTTATTACGTCAGTTTAACTTTGCAAAACGTTTTCACTGAATTCTTGGTAATTATATCATGAAATGGTTATGGAAGTTCAAGTTTATTTTGTGGATTTTTACATTATTTGACTTTGAGAATGGTAGGTTGTAAATGTAAGAATAAATTAACAAAAGTTTTACATTTGCTTTTGGTATTAATTACCATTATTAGTAATACTAATATTACTAACTACTGGTGATGGTACAGTACTCTACTAGTACAGTATTAGTAATTATAGCAGACTAATACCCATGTTCAGTCAGATAAGAGTTGGAAGTGTTGTTGAAATTTAGAAATTAAAGTTGTTGGCCTGAAGTTAATTCAGAGTCAGAGTAATTTTACTTTTAACACTTAAAGCTAAACTTTGTAAGTGTAGCATTAACTAATACAGTAACAGTGTAATGACTATGACTAAGTAATGTAACATACCTACTTAATTGACTCGTGATGTAAAAGTGTATACTTTAAATTACCATTGATTATTCAATGAGTATAGTGACTGTATATGAAAATGAGACTCAATTACTATTAGTGTTAATAGGCACAGTAAATGTATAATAGTTTTATTAAAGAAATAACTTGTGATGTGTTTGAATTATTCTTCTTGTCATGTCCACCTATACCTGTATGGTTTCCAACTAGTACTGCACACAATTGATTGCATATTCACTGGTTATACTTATAGTGAGGTTTTCTGCTGTGCATGGGACCTCGAGTTATGAGCAGATGAGTAGTGTTGGATTGTATGCCCCTCACTGAACTTGCAGGTGAGGTAGTGGGTCTACCAGGGTACCCATATTTCGCCATGTTGGCCCTAGACCTGTTGGGATGGGTGGTGGTTGCATGATCGGTAGTCATAATAGATTAGATTCCCAGTGCTGCAGTGTGGATGCTCTTGCAATGGTCCCAAGTGCTTGAATGATATATGGTGAAAGTGAAACTTCAAATAGTAATACAGTACTACTGTAATACTAACAGTTGTTGCATCATAAAAAAGTAAATATAAAATATGATACTAGAAGAAGTCATGGTAACATTTTAGAATAAAGTTTGAATCCACGATAACAGAACAATAATAAATTTACTTGGGTACAATTTTGGACACTTTTATGTGTCCTCTTTAGTTCAACATTGGACTTAAGAAAACACATGAAAGTGTTGAAATGTGTACCCAAATAAATTTGGTATTATTCTGGTATTGTGGGTTTAAACCTTATTTTGATTTATTTTACATGGTATTGTGTAATTACGTATTATTAGAGTGTAATGCTAGCATCTTTCTTGCTTAGAAGTTCAGGATAGTGATCTACTTTCATACTGCTGAACAGGAGAGCTGAAGCCCAAAAATTAAAAAATGAGCAATCCACTTTTGTTTTTGTGGAGAAAGGAAATTGATCAGTACTCTTTCTTCACTGTGGTACAACACATAACTTACTTGTAAACTTTTTTTAATTGACTGATTTACCCTTTGTTTCATGCTGAGATGAGGGATGTTAAGTTAGTATTCAAGTAAATGCTTCAAGCATAAGTAACAATTAATTTGCTATGTACATGTGTGGTTGGAATATGGTATTTCTGAGTAATGAAAGATGTTTACTCAGAAAGAAACCAGTTTGATGTAGACTCAGGAGTAAGGTATTATTGACTGTACTTGATCATAGTAGCTCTTGATGTTTTTAAAGTCAAGCATATTTGAACCATATTGATTAATATTATACGTAAATTATAATATTTCTTAAAAGAATTAAATGAAGCAAAAACTTGCAATAAGTGAACTGTTTATTGTAAATTATTTGAAAGATTTTGTTTATAATATGCAAAGAAACAATTTTCCACATAGTGAAGGCCAGTTACTCAGATTGTTCCCCTAAAATTTAGTTACAGGATAGATAGCACTCATGATTACAAGCAAAAAGAAATCAAGCAATTAAGATAATAAGCAGTTGTGGCCTAGAAGTTAGTGTTCGAAATCTGTATCAAAGAGTCTAAGGTTTAGACATAATGCCACTGACCATGCTTCATACATTTGACCATGGGTACATTATATGAGTGACAGCCAAACTCATTATTCAGTTCAAAGAGCAAGACGAAGCCATTGTAGCAATGAGTACTGATGAATAACTGACCCACTCCAATCAGTACTGTTGATAAAAATAAAAGCTGACTAGATCTCAGTGTTATGGATCCCTGTCTGGTCATAAAGGGACTGTTCAAGTTGAATATTCCTGTTCCACTTAATTAATTATTACATTCAATAAATACTACCATTTTGTTTGTTTAGATGCATCATAATACACTCAGTATGTCAAATTAATTTTGATTATAGTTGATAGATTAACATTTTATCAGTTGGAATTTGAATAATTTTACACCAAGTGTAAGATTACATATTACATTTAAAGGTTACACATTGCACAGTTAGATATATATGTACATAAATTCAAGGATATAAAGAAGAAAGTGGTTAACAGAGTTACTATAAATTTCACAGCAATCACGTGTTATGTTAATTAAATCCTATATTTATTCATTTTGTGTTTTTGTGAACTTGCTTGTCTGTGAATTTCTCCAACTGCTTTGGAGCTGGTACAGCCAAACTTAGCAGATGAATTTGGGATGGTCCAAGGTATGGCCTTATCTATATGGTGTAGTCTTCCTACTATTATTTATTTGGGGTCCCAAGGATGTTAAAATGCCCAAGAAATCACTTAGGCATGAAGAGGGCTTTGACAATGTGTTCTTGCCATATGCCCCTTGGGATCCTGTTTGAAATGGTATTCATACTCCACACTGACAAGCTAGTGGGAACAAATGTGGAAAACATGCTTCGGGATAATGGATGAGCTTGATTTGTACATTGGGGCCTCTATGAATCATGAGTGGGTCTTTGAGCCCCACAGATAAGCAGGAGTATATTATGATAGTGGCTTAATAGCTGCAATGGCAATATAATACTCAGCTTTAGTATTTATAAATCTTTTTTTATAAGACAAAGCAGAAAAATATAGATGATAACATATGCAGAGTGGTGTGTTCCATTATTGTAACACAACATATGAACAATACCAAACCTATAGTTTTCAGGAATTCATTGGTTCTCTTTTTTAAACTCATAGAAAGAGTATTGGGATCTGATTAAAGTGTCAAAAAGTATAAAGAAAATATGTATAATAAGCAAAAGTACCTGTTCTCAGTGGCGGGCAAAGTTTAAGTTAATTTATAAATTTAAGTTATTTCATGGATTTTGAAAAGTTAATTATGTTGCACTCTTGGTTTCACTCAGAGCCAAAGCTCTGAACTACTTATACTGCCTACTACGAAAAGTAATTGTTGAGCATTTCGGTCATGCTAAGAACTGCTCAATAATAACGTATGGTTAAATCTACATTTTTATTCTTTAAGTTACACCACATTTGAAATGTGAATGATAGTGGGATTAATTCCTATCAGCTTAGTGTAGAATATTCTGCTTGCAAAATAAAATTGGCATCAACATTATTTATGCCTGTTCTCACATCATTTCAAAAGTGAATGTTGAGCTTTGTCTATGTGTGTGTGCAGCTTTTCAAATGCAGTTTGGGAAACACCCACCTTAAATGGGAGACAGATGAATGCTTGGACAGAGTGGTAGGAGTAAGGGATATAGATTTAAAATTTAGCAGGGTAGAAATTATCTGCAAATTAGGCAATTTTATTTTTGAATAAGATGGACAACCTTTGGACCAACCCCTTGTTATCCTTCAATTGTGTTATTTTAAGGTGTCCACTGTTTCCTGTAATAACCCATTCCATATGCTATTCATGTTGTGTAAGAAGAAAACTGTCTGAACTGGAGCCTAACCTGTTTTTTTTATACCTTAAACTTGTGTCTTCTTGTCCTATTGCCTTCAGGATAAAGTAGAAATAAATCAGAGGCTTATATTCTATTGATTCCATGGATAATCTTGTAAAGTTCAATATGATCACCCTTCTTTTCTCAAGAGAAAAAGTTACATGAGCTTAATCTGTTTCTATAAACCACCCCATCCATCCATGGAATCATCCTAGTTGTTTACTTCTGAATCCTTTGTAGTAAGTCAGTATCCTTTCTTAGTTAAGAAAACCAAAACTATACATGGTAGTCCAAGTGAGGTCTAACCACTGATTTGTATAAAGAGAAAATTACTTGTTTTGACTTGTAATCATTGTCTGTAGATATATCCTAAAATTCTGTTAGTTTTGCTACTACTAGTAACAGAGCTGCTGCATGATCAAGATTGAGAGTTTCCCATGCCTTTTAATCTCCTTAGATTAGCTTTACATAATTCTTCAGTCACATCCAGAATATGAGTTGGATTTGAAGGTCTTTACAGTAGCAAGAAGAACAGTAGTTTTATACTTGTAGCACTAGAATTAGGATTATACTCATAGATAAATTTGTGATAACTTTATTTCAATCAATGTTAAAGATGAGAAATGTTTTTACCTTATTATATTTGTACAACTAGTTCATCTTGCTATTCAGAACAGTTATTTTAGTACACGGAAAAGTCTTGGTACTGGGTTACTTTGAAATATTTTAACAAAAAGAACCTCTTTAGCAGGCTTTTAATACAAGTGATATTAAGAGGAAGTGTCAAAACTATATATTAAAAAGAAAATTAATTTTAAATTATTCTTGCTTAATTTAAGCTATGACAGAATTTCATTTTAAAGTTATACATCTGTTTGTGTGTTGAACCATATACAGCATGTATAGTACACACACGCACACACACACACACACAGATACACACACATATATATATATATATATTATTTGTGCTTTGGGTAATTCATGGTATGATCATTCATGTATCTGGACAAGAAATAGCATTTTCTTTATTAAAAATATCATACAAAATGCTATGAAGGTACATATAAAGATTAGAATAAAATTTAAATTAGTTCTCTGAAAAAGAATTGTACTAAAAATAATTTTGTTTATGAAAGTTATGTTGGAACTTTAGTTATTTAAATGTTTTTAATTGTATCTAGTCTTTATCAATAAGTTAAAATCTCATGAAAAGTTAAATTTTTCATAGAATACTAACATCATTATATTTGTTCTTGTTTAAGCTGAACAGCTCAATGAGTATATTCAACATTATGAAACATTAAGCTATGATAGTCCGAAGACTTGCAGGCATACTTCGCGTACCAGGCGGTCACCTGCTGTAGGTGAAGAGGTACATATTCAGTTTTATGCTCATAAAAGGTAAGGATATCTGATGTTTTGAAGCCTACAAATATCTGTATAACATAATTCATTCTTAAAGATATTTTTACCAGTTTTTAGATTCTCATCTTTAAAGATTGGGAAAGGTTCATCAAAATGAAGCATTAACTAACATTTTTATTGTTGGAAGTTATTGAAAAGATTTTCAAATAAATATATTTGTTTGGAGAAAAACTAATTAGAATGTAATAGTTTTTTTTCTTCTTAACTTGAAAGGTTCAAAGTTTGAGTTGAGGAAATAAACAAAAATTTGTCTCTGACCCAAATTCTAAAATGGATATTAGAATGAGTTGTTGGGTATATTAGTTTATTTTGTAGCATGATAATTATAAATACAGTTCCGTTAATTAGTTGTATAAAAAGGGACTGATATGTATTCAGTACAAGTTTTCAAAGTAATACCTTTTCAGTTCATTCCCTGTACTCTGAAGCTAACCCCTTTCCAAGCTGGTCCTGTCCTTTGAATGGAAACAAACAAAAGACAAACTATGTAATATAAACCATTAAAAGGATAGGCATAATACATGGTGTTTCATTTAGAACATTAAAGAACCAATAGATCTGTAAAGTAGTGTTTTTTCAATTAGAATTTCCCAAATGAAATATCATTCTAATAGCCCACCGTTGCATTTTTTCCCAGTATCTTAAAATCTTTCATTTAGGTAGGGACCATAAGCTGCACATATGAGGCCTCACTAGTTATATAAAAGGTTAGTTATTTTTTCACTTTTAAATTCAAATTTTCTCTAAGTAGATGCCATAATTTTATGTCTTTTCACCAACTGTAAACAGTTTTCACAGTTACTCTTATAACACACCCATGGCCCAGTGTGTGTGTAGCGTGTATTTTTGTGGCAACAGGCCACAAACAGGGATTCATGGTCTGGGCAAGCTCACCACTGAGCTATGCCCAGTCTGTACCAGAAACATCTAATGTGTAAAAAGCAATAAATACTTCTAATTCTATGAACTTTCAGTATTGAAAAGAAGACTTCTTTTATTAGTTTAAAAGAAACTGAAGCTACTCGTATATCCTTTTCTGATAGCACAGATATCTAATATCTTCATGTTTCAATGTTCAAGAATTTTCTTTTCTGCTATTTAAGTTAGATTTAAAAAAATCTAATAAAGCCATTTAATGCTTGCCCACACATTAGTTTATAACTTTCTTAAGTGGAACCTATCATAGGCATGTGATTCTCTCTTATCCTTAAATTTGTCTATGTTTACCTTTTATGAAAAAATACTCTCCTAATTGTTTGTTAGCCTTGCACCCTGCTTAAGATTTCTTGCCCATACCTGATACAAGAAATGTACAGAAGTATTTTATAATTTTTACCCATAAAGCATTGAAATACTTCTTTTTTCCTGGTTAATAATTCTTCAGTTCTGCTGTTATCAGTATCATAAGCTCTAGCAAGCTCTCCTTTTCGCCATGTAGAGCTATAAAAATATGTTCAAGACAAGAAGATTTAAATAACGAATTGTTATTAATTAAGTATGTAGCTAATGATAGAGAATCTGATCCAAATATAGTAGACAAAG